AAACTCTGCTTCCGTTGTTGATAATGTAACAATTGGCTGCTTCTTTGATACCCAAGATATAGCTCCACCTCCAAACATAAAGACATACCCGGAAGTACTTTTTCTATCATCAATGTCACCCGCATAGTCACTGTCTGCAAATCCAATCAGTTCGTCTCCCTCTCCACGTACATATTGAATTCCCAACCCAGTAGTTCCTTGTACATACCTTAGTATTCTCTTCACAGCCATCAGATGCTGCTCTGTTGGACTTTCCATATATCTGCTAACAAGATTCACAGAAAACATCAAATCTGGTCGTGTTGCTGTCAGATATCTCAGGCTCCCAACTATTTGTTTGAAGAACGTTGAGTCTACAGCTGGTCCAGCCCCCTCCTTAGTCATCTTTTGGCCTGGAACCATCGGGTTTTTCACCATGTTGCAGTCTTCCATTCCAAATCTCCTCAAAATATCTTCAGCATACTTCTTTTGGCAGATGAAAATTCCCAGCTCATCTTGAGTAACTTCCACTCCTAAAAAATACTTCATCTTCCCTAGATCTGTCATTGAAAACTCATTTTTCATTGACGTCTTGAATTCTTCTAGCATTTTCTCTGAGTTTCCCGTATAAATGAGATCATCAACATAGAGGCTCACGATCAGTATGCTCTCACCATCTGTTTTTACGAACAAAGTATGTTCACAGTAGCATTTTTTGAACCCCTCCTTCAAGAAATAACCTTCAATTCGACTGTACCATGCTCTAGGCGCCTGCTTCAAGCCATACAAGGCTTTTCTCAGTTTGTAAACCTTACCAGCTGCCTCTCTTACTTCGAAACCTTCAGGTTGTGCAACATATACGTCCTCCTTAAGCTCCCCATGTAAGAAGGCACTCTTCACGTCTAACTGAAAGATATTCCAGCCCTTTTGTGCCGATAAACCAATGATTAGTCTGATTGTATCCCACCTAGCCACAGGTGCAAATACTTCATAAAAATCCACTCCATGAGTTTGATGATAACCTTTCGCGACTAATCTTGCCTTAAACTTGTCGATTTCTCCCTTCTCATTGAACTTTGTTTTAAATATCCACTTCACTCCTATCACTTTTGCTCCTGCGGGTAATTCCACCATTTCCCACGTATTGTTTTCTTCAATGGATTCGATCTCTGCTACCATTGCTTTTCTCCATTTTTCATGTTGCACCGCTTCCTCAAATTTATTTGGATCTTCTTCTGCAATGAACATAGCAACTGCATCCTCACCATCCTCCTCTATCACTGTCCTCGTTCCTTCACACACAAAGTCTTTCATCCATACCGGAGTTTGCACTACTCTTCCCGATCCGGCACGTGTGGGGACTCTACTCTGGTTCCCTCTACTTGTTGCAACTTCTTCTTCTTGTGTTTCAGTTTCGACTTCTTGTGAATTTGTTGCCACAGTATTTTCTGTATCATTGTTATCATTGTTTCCTTCTCTTGCCAGACCTTCTTGTTCTTCTTCTTCGGACTCACTAATCCTTTCTCCCCACGAAAGATTATTATCCTCCACATTTTCTTCCCAATTCCATTCTTTTTTCTCATCAAACTTCACATCTTTGCTGATAATAATCTTTTTTGTAACTGGATCATAGAGACGATACGCCTTTGACTCTTTGCTTACTCCAAACATCACACACTTTGTGCTTTTCTCATCTAGTTTCAGCCTTTTCTCATACGGCACTAGTGCAAATGCCACGCACCCAAACACCCTGAAATGCTCCACCGAGGGTTTGTGTTTGCTCCATTTCTCGGACGGTGTAATATTTTCCAGACTTGTTGATGGGCTCCGGTTTAATATGTAAACCGCATATTGAACAGCTTCAGGCCAAAATCTCTGAGGCACAGACATTCCCAACAACATGCATCTTGTCATGTTCATGACACTTCTATTCTTTCTCTCAGCTACACCGTTTTGTTGCGGAGTATATGCAGCTGTAAGTTGTCTCTTGATTCCATTTACTGCACAATACTCTTGGAATGCATTGGAGTTATACTCCCCTCCTCTGTCTGTCCTCAAACAGACCAACAATTCTCCAAGCTCTCTCTCTGCTGCAGCCTTGAATTCCTTGAAGGTTTTCAATGCCTCTGATTTTTCTGCTAAGAAATATGTCCAACATTTTCGACTGAAATCATCTATAAAGTTGATCATGTACCTTTTCCCACTCTCTGAAATAGGTGTGATTGGTCCACATATGTCACTATGCACCAGTTCAAGACCATGACTTGCCCTCCATGTGCTTTGCTTAGGTATATTTGTTCGGTTCTGCTTTCCTTTCATGCATATCTCACACACCGGCCCATCAATATTGATTTTTGGTAGACCCGTGACCATTTCCTTCTCAGCAAGCTCTTGTATTCCTTTGTGATTGAGATGTCCAAATCTCTTGTGCCACATCTCCTCTGTTCCTTCTAGCGTCACTTGTAAGCATTTGTCTCCTATCATCTCCGTTGACTTTTTCACCACAGCCAGAATCACAAACATTCTATTACTTGTC